CTCTGGAAGACCCGTTCGCCATCCCCCGCGATTACACCTGGGTTACCGCTGAAGCAAAGAAAAAGAAAATGCAGGAAAAGAACAAAGCAAAGAAAGGGAGAAATCGCCGTGACTGATCGAATCAAAGTCGTCACGAGTTCGATTCCCTCGAAGTCAAAACACTGGTGAGAGGCTGATCAAAACAAATTAGAAGAACAGATTCGAGGTAGGAAATAGTTTTTACTCGTTTAAAAATTCATCGATTCGTGTATACTTTGAAGGAAGAAATTCTTGTAGGTAGAAAGAATAACACACTGTTGTGAATTTTTACAATTTTTACACCATTTACTTTCACTTCTTACATTGTTCTCTTAATTAACAAGCTCATGGGGTAATATTTTCGTGTATATTTTGTATTTAAAAATGTCAAATTTATATATATATTTTATTTTTACCAGAAAAAAGAATGATGAGTTACGAACTTGTGATGAACAAAATCTAATCAGCTTGGTGGTCTAATCGAAGCCTGAGATAAGGTTTTTTTCCTGTCTTGATTACTTATGCCGGCCTGTCGTTTAGGTGTTTGGATTGTCGGCCACTATCGCCGACACGAGGAACCTGTCGTCTCCGTGACGTGGCGGGATGTGTTCCTCCTCGTCCCGTGGGAAAAAGTAAAAGTAAAGCATTTTGTAGACCAGGCATCACTTTATTATTGTAAAACGTACAAAATATTAAATAAATGTTACTAATATAAATAATAGATATTTTAACTCGTTTTTAAAAAAACAAAACGTTCATTTATTAATTTAAATATTTATTTGATTTTTTTAATAATTTTAAGATTTATTGAAAGTATATTAAATTTTAAATTATTAGGGGGTAAAATTGGGGGACTAAAGTGTCTTTTCACGAGAACTGTCAGATTAAATGGGTTTCACCAAAATGCCACAAAAAATGGAGGTTGGCAGAGTACATCATAACTACTTGTATTTGTAATTCTCGAAAAGGTAATAGACACGTGTCAAATTATGATTCGTTACTACGACTTACAATACATTAATGAACTTGGACTGGATTTGGTCTAGTTTCATCCCCTTGTATGAAAGCGCAAAAACGTCAATACGAACCCGAAAGCCTCCATTGTTGCGACCTCCATGGATAAAGATATGAAAATTCTCTCGTTTCACTCTTTAGATCAATGGTTGCTTTGTGCTTTTAGAACGTGAAAGTGCGTGTAAATCTTTCTATTTAGAGAGAGAGGATTTTGAATCTGTGTTGTTTGATCGGGAAGGACGATGAGCGACGGGAAGAAAGGAGATCTAAACTTGGAAGCTCCATTTCATGTTGTTCATAAGCTTCCTGCTGGTGATAGTCCCTATGTTCGAGCCAAACACGTCCAGGTATTCAACTTGGAATTAATTCGTCAAGTTCATATAACGAACTGTAAGGATCATAATTCTCTGCTTTTTATATTTGATGTCCCGTTTCGTTCAATTACTGTTCCGTGTATGGATGTATATTCATTGTTTGCACCGAGTTTCTGCCGGTTTTTGTGTTGGATTAGTTTCTCCGCAGTACAAATAAGATCCGTTTTGAATGTTGATTAACTTGTTTATCAGTAGGAAAACCGATTTTGTAGAAAATGAATCTGAAACGGAAATTTTTCAGTCGATAACCATGAAAAGGGATGCTCAGTTCATTATTACCAATATTTTTTATACGGACGAATTTGGAAACTTTTGACTCTTGCTATATCTCATTTATCCTCAAATCTGCTGAACTATATAAATGATCATTGTTATAGGGAATTGAAGTTTCATATTGTTCTCATTATAATAGATTGGAATGAAACTTTTTAAAATTCTAGGTATAATTGAAATGAACCTCATCTGAACTATTTTGATAATTTAAATAAAGAATTCAAGAATCCGCAATTATATTTGAGCGCTTACAGTCCCAATCTTGGCATCTCCGTTTCTTTCATGAATGCTCTTCATTCTAACTTCAGAATGAGATTGTGTTAGGAATCACGACTTCATATAATAATATGATATTGTCCAGTTTGAACCTAAGTTTTCATGACTCTATTTTAGCTTCTTTAAAAGGCTTCATAATTCTTTTACTTGTAAATTTATGATGATTTCCTAAATTAGCCAACATAATCCGTACAATTCCTCGACGGATTGGACATAGAATATTATGTTGATTGTGCTTTATGTTTCTTTTGACTCCTGCTTTCTAACGAATTGCCTATTATTTCTGAAAATTCAGCTCGTTGAGAAGGATCCAGAAGCAGCCATAGTCCTCTTTTGGAAGGCAATAAATGCGGGAGATAGAGTAGATAGTGCTCTGAAAGACATGGCAGTCGTCATGAAACAGCAAGACAGAGCAGAAGAAGCCATTGAAGCCATCAATTCTTTCAGGGATCGCTGCTCCAAACAAGCTCAGGAGTCATTGGACAATGTTCTCATTGATTTGTACAAGGTAAACAAAAGATTTGGTTTCTGTGTTTTTGATAGTCAAAATCATATAATGGCTTAACCCCTTAGAGCTAATTACTTTGAAAAACTTATTCAAATTCAAAACTCCTCTAGTTGCATGACTTAGAAAAGGTCCACGACTAGTCTCCCAATATTAACTTTCAAGTCATTCTAGCATAATTTTTAGTTATGATGAAAGCAAGTCCATTTAATGAAACATGGAAAAGCATTTATGAAAACTTCTGAGTTGTCGTCTTGACATGTTTGGCAGAAATGTGGAAGAATTGAGGAGCAGATAGATCTGTTGAAGCAGAAACTTCGGATGATTAATCAAGGAGAAGCCTTCAATGGAAAGCCCACAAAGACAGCTCGCTCTCACGGAAAGAAGTTTCAGGTCACCATCAGGCAAGAGACTTCAAGGATACTGGTATGTGTTGGATGAAGTCCATATCGGTTAATTTAGGAAATGATAATGGGTTTATAATCAAAGAATACTATCTATTGGTGTGAGGCCTCAAGCCCAAAGCAAAGTCATAAGAGCTTATGCTCAAAGTGGACAATATCGTACCATTGTGGAGAGTCGTGTTCATTTAACAGTATGAACGGACGGCCCTCAATTCACTCCTCTTCTATTTGAAGGAAAAGAAACTTTTAAACATACAGAAACCAAACTAAAAAAAAAAACAAAAGATGCCTCCAATGGCATAGAAAAAGCTTAAATCATAACTGTCTTGCATATATATGAAGGCTTTGTAGTTTGATATTAAAAAACATGAAACTCCGCCATTGCAGGGTAACTTGGGATGGGCGTATATGCAGCAAGAGAACCACAGAGCAGCAGAAGCCGTATACCAAAAGGCCCAAATCATAGACCCAGATGCAAACAAGGCCTGCAACTTGAGCCTGTGCCTGATGAAGCAATTTCGACATTCAGAAGCAAGGCTAGTGCTGGAACAAGTGCTGCAGAACAAGATTGCAGGATCCAACGACCAGAAATCAAGAAAACGAGCCGAAGAACTGATGAGGGAATTGGAAGAATCCCAATCGACAAACAAGTCGTTAACTGAAGATGGATTCACCATGGAGGGGCTTGATCAGTTGGTGATGAACCAATGGTCGCCGTTGAGATCTAGAAGGCTTCCAATTTTTGAAGAAATTTCCCAATTTAGAGATCAATTGGCTTGTTGATCGAATTTGGACTGGAGAGCTCATTTGGAGTTTAGAGTTTTGCGCCTTCCAGGTGTGTTTACTTCTTTTTTTCTTTTCTTTCTTTTCTTTCTTTTCTTTTATTTTATACGTGAGAGAGATAGAGAGAGGGTGATGTGATTGGTTAAGAAGACTTTAAGAGAAGGGTGACGAAAGAAAGCTTGCTGTCATTTTGTGTTGTATAGTTGCAGGAGAGAGTCCATATCTCATCCGTGTACACAAAGGTTTCATTCAATAATGTAGTTGGTGTTGATGACCAGCAGATATAGTCCAAAAAATATGAATGATTTTTACTTTTAAAGACAGAGTTTGAGGGTGTGAAATAATGGTTTTACCCCGTAAATAAATGCGAGCACTTTCTCGTTTTGTCTCTCTGGGGCCAACCAACTTTTGGAGTAAAAAAAAAAAAAAATCAAAAGAGCCAATTAGAATAAGAGATTGTAAGAGTTGTAGTAAAGAACCTTTCCGAGTTAGTGGTCCGGATATCATGAGTGATAATGAATAGGCTGAAATCTTGCAAAAAAATATGATGAAAAACAAACTAAAAAAAGTACTCAGTTATGGATAAAAAATTTACCAAAAAACAAAGAACATTAAAAAGGAAGTATCTCTATTATTACATCTCGGAGGGTCCACAACATGAACCATAATAAACCGGGTCTACCTGAAGATTAAGGAATTGCTTATATATATGTATGTATCTATACATCAATACAAAATACAAAATACAAAATACAGACTATCCTAGCAGAAATGTGATGGGAATTGGGTACTACAGCCTAGAGAGAGATTCAAAGACATCAAAAATCAAAGATCTGCAAAGACATCAAAAATCAAAGATCTGCGACTTGGGTATGCGAATCTTATCCATCCACCAATACAGAGAGCCAGTGTACAATGTCGAGGGAAATCGAGATGGAACTTAACAATGAAAGCCATGACAAACCGACAAAATAATGATGAGAATCAAAGCAATGACAATACCGAGAACGATCAGTTTTATCTTCATATTCTGAAACCACATCTTCCTCCTCATTTTCGTTCCCTGTGTCCTGAAATCCTGAGCCTGAAATATAAAAGAATCCAATTCATCAACTTGGAATGAAAATAGCCTTAAAACAAGGTGGCAATGCATCTTCAGGTTATTTATAAACTTTGGATTTAAATCAGTTGCTTTTCTTTATTGATTATCAAGATAGTGTATTTGAAGAAGACAAATCGACAAATGCGATCAAAGCCTACACTCTGAGGTTGCTTCTGATCAAGCGACATGAATTTTACACAATCAACATAAAAATGTAAGAAAATTTTATTCAACCAACCTGTGAGCGGAGATTCTCTGTTTTATCCACTAACAACTCGATTTTCTCACCACGATCGAGAACCTGCCAAACAGATGGAAAAATAGTTGTTTCATGATTAAAATGTCATCCAAAAGGCCCCTTTTAAAGTTCAGTTCCACAAAAATTCCTCAGTAGATTTCAAGGTATCCTAATTATTCAGACACAAGCAAGCATACATAACCTGGGGTGACAAACCACCAAATCGAGCATTTAACTAATTCAAATGCACGCACATATAGGGACGTGTGCGTGATATGGGGAGATGAAACAGTTCATTATTTTCATCCCCACCCACCAAAAACGAATAGAAACAAACAGGTCAAAAAAAGAAAGGAAAAAAAGTTTGAATTAACAAAGGACATGAACAGCATTTTAAATTATTGAAAACAATCCTTCACTCTAACAAAATCAACAAAATATTATTACGGCTCTTTACCTTCTCAATGTTTTCCATCATAACACCCTTGACTTCAGAAACCTGAGCCTTCACCATAGCAAGCTTGCTGATCTCTTCAGGATGATCCACACAATATTGCATATGCTCCTTTAATTTTGATCTACAAAAATTAATTTGCCAATTGGTTCTAAAAATTGTATCAGAACACATCAGTTATCAATGCTTTCCATCTCAAAGTCGTTACATTGGTTTATGTTTCTTATCTTCTTCCCTAACTTCTTCTTCGTCAGTTTAAAAAAAATATATTTCTAAATATGTATTTAAGAACAGGAAATTAGAAAGAGTACCCAAATTCTTTGTTCAGACTGTTGGCGACAGCAGTTGCAGCTTTCCCGCCACCGTATCGCTTGTTGAAGTCTTCCTTGACGCGCTCAAGAAAAGCAATAGGAACTTGTCTACCAGCAGCTTCAACAGCAACTACACAATAAGCTGCAGAAAATGGAACAGAAAGTTAGATTTAAATAAAATCATGAGGGAACTTAATGGTCGGAATCGATCATAAGTGTATCATAGATAGCAGAAAATAGTCTCTTAGTTACAGAAAATTATAAGGAGCTTCTGCAATCCACCAACAGCTAACCAAATTTATAATACAAGCAATTGCAACTGAGCAAATAAAACAATGCCAAGTTCTTCACATTGATGCCTCCATTTCTAATTCAGTATTTTTGCTCAGCTTAGATCAGCCTGGATTCGAAACAGTGCATTTTCCCTCCAGTTGCGTGAGATTTATTGATTCCATATCACTTAGGTGATCTCGTGCTCCTTTCTTTTTGAGGTAACCAAAAACACGAATTCTTTCTCTCTCTCTCTCTCTCTTTTTTCATTAAAAAAGGAAATAACTCCGATCGTTTTAGCCGCCTTTTAGTGTTTATAAACAAACCTCAATTCTCGTTGAACTATAAAATATCCACCGATCAAGAAAAGCAAAATGTCCGAATCTGATGTGATTCAAGATGTACCATGAACTATAATACACTAACACACTAATGACCAAACCTTCAGAAGATTAAAAAAACGATGGATCTGTAACAGTGACGAAATGACATTGAAAACGAAGAGAAGAATCTCGTAAAGGAAAGCTAAACAAACGAATAAATCATAAGGAGATCTGGATCAAAACAAACTGTAGCATTAATTCAGATAAATGAAACGTACTAAATCCGTTCTCGACGAGATAATTGAAGGTGTGGCCATCGCAGTTGTAGGTAAACTTATTATTCGAAGCAGGGAGCTTCTGGAGGCATTGAGAGGCGATGCTAGTGAAATTTCCGGTGAACTCTGTATACTCAGCGAGAATCACCGTTCCTCTAGCCACAAAGCTGTAGATCAACGACTGTTGCCCCATTTCCAAAAGCACCCTAACTCAACAACAATCACAGATCGAGATTTAAGAAGATCGATGCAATGCCAAAGAAACAAAAACAAAACAAAAATACAAACAAACACAGAGTGAACTTCAGAACAATGGAGAAGATCAAACCAGATCGGAGAAGAAGGCTGAAAAATCCTTACCAATACTAGCTACTTCCAAACTTTTCTTCGAGTGCGCGCGTATATAGAGCGAGACGGAAATTTCGGGGTTCAAAATATCGGAAGCGAAAGAGGAGGTTCCTCAACACTTACCTTTACCTTTAAATATAGTTGGGAACTGCAAGGGAGCATTACGAACGTCGGTTGAGACTTGGGGGACTAAGACATAAATATATTTAAATAAAAATAATAAATCCGAAATTAAACGCTCCCCCCGGTTCTTTTTGAATTTCGAATCTCTTTTTCCTGCTTAAATCATCCAACTCAATTATTGCCTATTTAGTTCACTCTTGAATAAGCACGATGTTTGAGTTCGGGTCTCCTTCCAAAACTTACGTATTTATATTCTATTTCATTTTTTGATAACGGGTATTTTTATTTTTATTTTCACAATATTAGTTCACAATCGATCTACTCTTGCACCAATTTTTTTTCGTGGGCTTCTTTGAGGCACACATATAGGTGGGTCATGTACCTCGAGGCCCATACCAATGAGGAGTGGTGGTGAAATTAATTAGTGCGTGAGTCTCATAGCTAAGAGTGATCCTGAGGTTAAGAATTCGAGTTTCTCTTACTCAAATTGTTTTTTTATTGGCTTTTTTGAGAAGATAGATCAGTGTATACTTAAGGCCTATATAAGAAGCGTGTAGGTCTCATAGCTTTGTAGAGTGATTATAAGGTCGAGAGTTCGAGCCTCTCTCACCCTAATTATTTTTTCATCAGTTTCTTTAAGGTTCAAGTAGGTCAACGAGTACCACAAGGCTTATATTAGAAGGGGGTGGTGGCGTAGTTGGCTAGCATGTATGTCTCATAGCTTTGTAGAGTGATCCTGAGGTCGAGAGTTTGAGCCTCTCTCACCCCAATTATTTTTTCATCGGTTTCTTTAAGGTTCAAGTAGGTCAGCGAGTACCACAAGACTTATATTAGAAGGGGGTGGTGGCGTAGTTGGCTAGCATGTATGTCTCATAGCTTTGTAGAGTGATCCTGAGGCCGAGAGTTTGAGCCTCTCTCACCCCAATTATTTTTTCATCGGTTTCTTTAAGGTTCCAATAGGGGTGCATCCTAAGGTTGAGAATTCGAACCTCTCTAACCCTATTTCTTTTTTCATGGGATTCTTTAAGGCCCAAGTAGACCAGCGGGTACCTCAAGGCCTATACCAAGAGGAGGGGGTGGTGGTGTAATTGGCTAGTGCACAGGTCTCATAACTTGTAGAGTGATTCTTAGATTGAGCGTTTGAGCCTCTCTCACCCCAATTCTTTTTTCATGAGCTTCTTTGATACCCATGTACATCAACGTGTACCTCAAGGTCTATACCAACAGAAGGTGGTGGTGCAGTTGGCTAGCCCGTAGGTCTCATAGCTTGTAGAGTAATCCTGAGGTCAAGAGTTTGAGTCTCTCCCACTCTAATTCTTTTTTCACAGGCTTCTTTGAGCAGTTCGAGACTCTCACACCCCAATTCTTTTTTCATGGACTTCAATCAACTTATACCTCAAGGTCTATACTAAGAGAGGTGGTGACGGCATAGGCGCAGTTGGCTACCCAAGGGTGTAGTTTGAGCCTCTCTTTTACTTCAAATATTTTTCCATGGGCTTCTTTCAAGCCCACATATAGATGGCCCATATACCTCAAGGCCCACGACAACACTTCCGAGATCATTGGTCGATATTTTTTAAAATTATTATTTTTCTTTATTTAACCACGATAATATCTTCAAGAATACTCTTTCAAAAAGCTTTGTAAAGTCATAAAAAAATTATATAAGCACGTAATTAATCACTAGTTTAACGAGTAATTCTAATGATTACAATATCAACCTATAAAAAGGTATTTAACATATTTTTTTTAAAAAAAAATCACATATGTTTGGAATTTATTTGACAAAAAAATTAAAAATTAATTTTGACAGTTTAAATAAATAAATAAATAAAAACAAAATTTCATATTAAATATATAATTTAAACGGATCAATTCTTCCATTCTCCCGAATAGCATCTCAATTACAATAACACGTACTTAATTAATCATGTTTAGGCCTAATCTCAATTCCTTCAACAATTAACCCACTCTTGGTTATAAAGTCATGGAACTCTTTCAAATGGCAAACTATTGAGCCATCATCTCCTAATTCATTGAAGATTTCACCCATTTCAATCTCCATCCACCCGTCCGCTCTTTCTTCAAAAGCCACATGGGATCCTTCACGAGGCTCCAAAATTGCCGTCTTCCCTTCCTCAACCTCCGCCCCTTCCAAATAAACTCGTAATAAAACTGGTCTCTCACGGAATCCACGACGCTGGTAACGATCTTCTACGAGCTTGAACACAAGGTACGCTGCGTAGTTGGTTTGGGGACTTAAATTTCTAGCCTCTATGCTCCCTTTGATCTCAAGCCACCATACCCTTTGCAACTCAGCCACTTCACAGAACCTATGCTTAAAGATTTTAAATTCGCCAAACCAACGTGAAACTATAATGTAATTACCTCGTAATAACTACTAAATATAAGCTCGAGTTACTTTCATCGTCTTTCTGTCGTACATCCTAATGTACAATCGACTACAATGTGACAATCTATTCGAGTAATTTATCTTAAATGTAGAACCCTAGATTTTATCGTTTTTCTATCAAACATCCTATTGTGCTAATTGATCGGGTATAGTATGGTAACCTACTCGAACAATTTATTTCAAATGTAAAACCTTAGATTTAACAAATGAATAAGAATTCAAGTTATTTTCATCGTTTTCCTATCATATATTTTACAGTGTCACAATCTACTTAAATAATTTATCTAAAATGTACGTATTATCTATAAAAAAAAATGAAAATTAATATTTTGAAAGTACACAAAAATAATTAAAATATATAAATGAAAATAAAGAAAATATTAAATGTAATAAAGAAAATGAAAAATGGGCACCTTGATATAGGGTTGGAATTCCAAGTCCAATATTGTGATGAATTTCCCCAAATTATCCCTAGATCTCTTGCTCCTATCAAATAGCATTTCTTGCCGCTGTCTTTCTCCAACGCAAAACTCTGATTCAAATTATTTGCAAACAAAATAAGTTTTAAATAGAGAAAAAAAAAAAACTCAAAATAATATTTATAAACTCAATTTTAAAAAATTTAAAAATAATTATTAGAGTTTAAATTAATCAAATTTGATTTAAAACTTTTAATTTTGTATTTTTAAAATTTTAAAAAGTTAGATAAATAGATTTAATATATATTTTTAATTAATTAAAAATTAATTAATATTGAAAATTGAGAGTCTGAATCAAAATTGAATGAATTTTAAGTAATTAAAATTTAGTTGAATTACCGAATTTCCAGAGCCGATGAGAAGCGGACGATCGCAGAGATGGAAGTAGAGAGCCTTTTTGGACAAGGAATTCAGAAACGACGTCGTAGATGGGGACGAAGCCTGAGAAATAATCTGCCGGTAATCGGACGGCAGAAAAGTGGTCCACAGAGCTTCGGAATCGGCGGCGGATCTGAAAGCCAGCGAGACGGCGGCGGATCTACAGGCGTCCTTCGGCGAGGTGAAGGCCAGAATGGAAGAGATACACTCCACCGGTAGCTGGTTGATGGCCATTTCCGATTTGGCTTGTTCTTTTTTTTCTCTCTTTTTTCTTTAGTTTCTCTTCTGAAAAATCAACCTCGGAGTAAACGCAATATATATAATTATAATATATACATTCTCCGGCATGACGTGGCTATGACCATTTCAATATTTATTTATTTAATTCCAACCATTTTACGAGTGGGAAAATTGAATGAAGGATAATTAAATTATTCAAACTTAAATGTGAATGATTCAAATTCATCTACCGACCGCTTGTGTAGTAGCGATAAATACGAGAATATTTAATTCTACAATCTCATTGTTTCATTTTGTATTCACAATAACTCAGGATTTAATCTCATAGAGTTGATAAGTGTTTCGCTTGTAAATTTAATTGGTTGATGATGATACAGAATCGAATTAAAGTAGGTCATCCAAGTAGGTCAGCGTGTACCTTAAGGCCTATATTAACAAGGGGTGGTGGCGCAGTTGGCTAGCGTGTAGGTCTCATAGATTAGTGATCCTGAGCTCGATAGTTCGAGCATCTCTCACACCAATTATTTTTTTCATCAGTTTTTTTGAGGTCCAAGTAGGTCAGCGTGTACATACATGCATATATCAGTAGGGGGTGGTGGTGCAGTTGGCTAGTGCGTAGGTCTCATAGCTTTGTAGAGTAATCTTGAGGTCGAGAGTTCGAGCCTCTCTCACCTCAATTATATTTTTCAGCACCTTCTTTGATGTCCAAGAAGGTCAACGTAGAGCCTCTCTCACCCCAATTATATTTTTCATCAGTTTCTTTGATGTCCAAGTAGGTCAACGTGTACCTCAAGGCCTATATCGGGCTAGCGCGTATGTCTCATAGCCTTGTAGAGTGATCCTGAGATCAAAAGTTCGATCCTCTCTAACCCCAATTATTTTTTTCATCAATTTCTTTGATGTCCAAGTAGGTCAATGTGTACCTCAAGGCCTACATCAGCAGGGGGTGGTGGCGCAGTTGGCTAGCGCGTAGGTCTCATAGCTTTGTAGAGTAATCATGAGGTCGAGAGTTCGAGCCTCTCTCACCCCAATTATTTTTTTCATCAGTTTCTTTGATGTCCAAGTAGGTCAACGTGTACCTCAAGGCCTACATTAGCATGGGGTGGTGGCGCAGTTGGCTAGCGCGTAGGTCTCATAGCTTTGTAGAGTAATCCTGAGGCCGAGAGTTCGAGCCTCTCTCACCCCCACCTTCTTTGATGTCCAAGAAGGTCAACGTGTACCTTAAGGCCTATATAGCAGGGAATGGTGCGCGGTCCCATAGCTTTTTAGAGTGATCTTAAGTTCGAGCCTCTCTCACCCCAATTATTTTTTTCATAAGTTTCTTTGATGTCCAAGTAGGTCAACGTGTACATCAAGGCCTATATCGGCATAGGGTGGTGGTGCAGTTGGGTAGCGCGTATGTCTCATAGCTTTGTAGAGTGGTCCTGAGATCAAAAGTTCGATCCTCTCTAATCCCAATTATTTTTTTCATCAGTTTCTTTGATGTCCAAGTAGGTTCACCCCAATTATATTTATCATCAGTTTCTTTGATGTCCAAGAAGGTCAACGTGTACCTCAAGGCCTATATTGGAATGGAGTGGTGGTGAAGTTGGCTAGCGCGTATATCTCATAGCCTTGTAGAGTGATCCTGAGATCAAAAGTTCGATCCTCTCTAACCCCAATTATTTTTTTCGTCAATTTCTTTGATGTCCAAGTAGGTCAACGTGTACCTCAAGGCCTATATTGGCACGGGGTGGTGGTGAAGTTGGCTAGCGCGTATATCTCATAGCCTTGTAGAGTGATCCTGAGATCAAAAGTTCGATCCTCTCTAACCCCAATTATTTTTTTCGTCAATTTCTTTGATGTCCAAGTAGGTCAACGTGTACCTCAAGGCCTACATTAGCAGGGGGTGGTGGCGCAGTTGGCTAGCGCGTAGGTCTCATAGCTTTGTAGAGTAATCCTGAGGTCGAGAGTTCGAGCCTCTCTCACCCCAATTATATTTTTCATCAGTTTCTTTGATGTCCAAGTAGGTCAACGTGTACCTCAAGGCCTATATTGGCACGGGGTGGTGGTGAAGTTGGCTAGCGCGTATATCTCATAGCCTTGTAGAGTGATCCTGAGATCAAAAGTTCGATCCTCTCTAACCCCAATTATTTTTTTCGTCAATTTCTTTGATGTCCAAGTAGGTCAACGTGTACCTCAAGGCCTACATCAACAGGGGGTGGTGGCGCAGTTGGCTAGCGCGTAGGTCTCATAGCTTTGTAAAGTAATCCTGAGGTCGAGAGTTCGAGTCTCTCTCACCCCAATTATATTTTTCATCAGTTTCTTTGATGTCCAAGTAGGTCAACGTGTACCTCAAGGCCTATATTGGCATGGGGTGGAGGTGAAGTTGGCTAGCGCGTATGTCTCATAGCCTTGTAGAGTGATCCTGAGATCAAAAGTTCGATCCTCTCTAACCCCAATTATTTTTTTCATCACTTTCTTTGATGTCCAAGTAGGTCAACGTGTACCTCAAGGCCTACATCAGCAGGGGGTGGTGGCGCAGTTGGCTAGCGCGTAGGTCTCATAGCTTTGTAAAGTAATCCTGAGGTCGAGAGTTCGAGCCTCTCTCACCCCAATTATATTTTTCATCAGTTTCTTTGATGTCCAAGTAGGTCAACGTGTACCTCAAGGCCTATATCGGCACGGGGTGGTGGTGCAGTTGGGTAGCGCGTATGTCTCATAGCTTTGTAGAGTGATCCTAAGATCAAAAGTTCGATCCTCTCTAACCCCAATTATTTTTTTCATCACTTTCTTTGATGTCCAAGTAGGTCAACGTGTACCTCAAGGCCTACATCAACAGGGGGTAGTGGCGCAGTTGGCTAGCGCGTAGGTCTCATAGCTTTGTAGAGTAATCCTGAGGTCGAGAGTTTGAGCCTCTCTCACCCCAATTATATTTTTCATCAGTTTCTTTGATGTCCAAGTAGGTCAACGTGTATCTCAAGACCTATATCGGCATGAGGTGGTGGTGAAGTTTCCTAGCGCGTATGTCTCATAGCCTTGTAGAGTGATCCTGAGATCAAAAGTTCGATCCTCTCTAACCCCAATTATTTTTTTCATCAGTTTCTTTGATGTCCAAGTAGGTCAACATGTACCTCAAGGCCTACATCAGCAGGGGGTGGTGGCGCAGTTGGCTAGCGCGTAGGTCTCATAGCTTTGTAGAGTAATCTTGAGGTCGAGAGTTCGAGCCTCTCTCACCCCAATTATATTTTTCATCAGTTTCTTTGATGTCCAAGTAGGTCAACGTGTACCTCAAGGCCTATATCGGCACGGGGTGGTGGTGCAGTTGGGTATCGCGTATGTCTCATAGCCTTGTAGAGTGATCCTGAGATCAAAAGTTCGATCCTCTCTAACCCCAATTATTTTTTTCATCAGTTTCTTTGATGTCCAAGTAGGTCAACATGTACCTCAAGGCCTACATCAGCAGGGGGTGGTGGCGCAGTTGGCTAGCGCGTAGGTCTCATAGCTTTGTAGAGTAATCTTGAGGTCGAGAGTTCGAGCCTCTCTCACCCCAATTATATTTTTCATCAGTTTCTTTGATGTCCAAGTAGGTCAACGTGTACCTCAAGGCCTATATCGGCACGGGGTGGTGGTGCAGTTGGGTATCGCGTATGTCTCATAGCTTTTTAGAGTGATCCTAATATCAAAAGTTCGATCCTCTCTAACCCCAATTATTTTTTTCATCACTTTCTTTGATGTCCAAGTAGGTCAACGTATACCTCAAGGCCTATATCAGCAAGGGTGGTGGAGCAGTTGTTCGAGCCTCTCTCAGCCTAATTATTTTTTTCATCAGTTTCTTTGATGTCCATGTAGGTCATCGTGTACCTCAAGGCCTATATTAGTAGGGGGTGGTGGTGCAGTTGGCTAGCGTGAAGGTCTCATAGCTTTGTAGAGTGATCTTGAGGTCAAGAGTTTGAGTCTCTCTCACCCCAATCATTTTTTACATCAGTTTCTTTGATGTTAAAGTCGAACTCTCGATCTCAAGATCGATAGTGTCGATAAGGTATTAGCCCCTTACTCACCTCTTCAACATCTAGAAAAAGACCCTATTAGTTAAGCTCTTTCGTAAAAGCACCATTGGTCGGTGGTTCCTCTCTTTTTCTCTTTCCCCTCGAACACAAAATCGATTTCGCCATCAGCTCGACTAAGAGTTCCTAATCGAAAAAGTAAACTGAACGTCAACTTGATGATGCAAAGGAGAGGGTTCCGAAGGAATATCTTCTTGCCAAAGGAGAGGGGAACCGAGTGCCGAAAAAAACCGGTTTAGGTAAATATCTAATGCGCTCCCCCAATTATTTTTTTCATCAGTTTCTTTGATGTCTAAGTAGGTCAACGTGTACCTCAAGGCCTGTATCAGCACGGGGTGGTGGCGTAGTTGGCTAGCGTGTAGGTCTCATAGCTTTGTAAAGTGATCCTGAGGTTGAGAGTTCGAGCCTCTCTCACCCCAATTATTTTTTTCATCACTTTCTTTGATGTCCAAGTAGGTCAACATGTACCTCAAAGCTTATATTAGTACAATGTGGTGGTGTAGTTGGCTAATGCGTATGTCTCATAACTTTGTAGAGTGATCCTAAGGTCGAGAGTTCGAGCCTCTCTCATCCCAAATATTTGTTTCATAAGTTTCTCTGATGTCCAAGTAGGTCAACGTGTACCTCAAGGCCTATATCGGCACAGGGTGGTGGCGCAGTTGGCTAGCGCGTAGGTCTCATAGCTTTGTAGAGTGATCCTGAGGTTGAGAGTTCGAGCCTCTCTCACCCCAATTATTTTTTTCATCAGTTTCTTTGATGTCCAAGTAGGTCAACGTGTACCTCAAGGCCTATATCAGTAGGGTGGTGGAGTAGTTAGCTAATGCGTAGGTCTCATATCTTTATAGAGTGATCCTAAGTTCGAGCCTCTCTCAACCTAATTATTTTTTTCATCAGCTTCTTTGAGGTTCAAGTAGGTCAGCGTGTACCTCAAGGCCTATATCAGTAGTGGGTGATAGCGTAGTTGGCTAGTGTATAGGTCTCATAGCTTTGTAGAGTGATCCTAAGGTCGAGAGTTTGAGTCTCTCTCACCCCAATTATTTTTTACATCAGTTTCTTTGATGTCCAAGTAGGTCAACGTGTACCTCAAGACCTATATCAGCAGCAACAGGGGGTTGTGGCGCAATTGACTAGCGCGTAGGTCTCATAGCTTTGTAGTCAGAGAGTCAATTATTTTTTTCATTAGTTTCTTTGATGTCCAAGTAGCATTAGTTTCTTTGATGTCCAAGTAGGTCAACGTGTACCTCAAGGCCTATATAGCAGAGGGTGATGGCGCAACTGACTAGTGCATAAGTCTCATAGCTTTGTAGAGTGATTCTGAGGTCGAGAGTTCGAAACTCTATCACCACAATTATTTTTTTCGTAAGTTTCTTTGAGGTCCAAGTATGTCAGCGTACCTTAAGGCTTTTATCAGCACGGGTATTTTTTCATAAGTGTCGTATCTTTTTGTCCATATATTTATGGTATTTTTAAAATTTTAGAATATTTTAAAGATAAAAGTATAGCATTTAAATTATTGATACGTTGAATTTTCTATTAAAATAATCTGAAATAGAACCCTCAACATTAAAGTTAGGAATTGTGATTGTATAAAATTACTGGATTGTTGCGCGAGAAACGGTGAGCTAAAATGGCGCCACGTCATCGTCTAATTTCGAAAAATGAGAGAAATAAAATAATCGAAGCGTTCGGGATCGCCGGGCAAACGGAAACTAAAAGCATTTCGCGGTCTCCATCGCTCTCACTTAGTCACAGCTCGGTACATATAAATACAGCCATCATCGTTCGGCTTTCGAGTGATCGCGATTCGTCTCTTCTCTGTCGAAAGCCCTAGAGTTTCTCCTCTTGCAGCCATCAGCTTCTCAAAGGTAGATTATGTGCCTATTTTCTGTCTGGTTGCTTAGAAGATGATGGAAATGGAAAAGGAAAAGGAAGAGGAAAATAATAGACATATGTCCGTGGAGATTTTCTCTTACTTTTTTTTGTT